GGAAGGATGCGTGCATTTCAAACTACAATGAAACTAGCAAATGTGAAGTGGAGGCTGCACATCACAACAGCGATGAAGTTTCAATGTGCAACACCATACTGCCAGCATTTCAGAATGAGGCAACAAAACAGACACAAAAGCAGCCCGCTTGTACTGCAAACATGCTCTAGACCAGGAGATTTTCGCTACTAGATTCACGTTAAATTGATGTGTATAAGGCTACATGGTCTTAGATGCTTTATCCAACTACAGCAAAAAAACAAACAGCATCCTGCCAACAAATTAAAATACACTTCTTCGTTTTCGAGTTTACAGGAAATCACACATAAAAGACATTCTTGCAGGTTTTATATAATTTTGTTTTAACAACGCGTGCAACGAGTGCAGGTGAACTGAATTCAACAGCTCGATTTCAAGACTGTTTTACCCACAAACACTACTTGTTTATGACCTGCCTCCTTCCTGGCTGATCCCTTGGAGAAGGAGACAGTGCTCTCTCACAACAGAGGAGCGGACCAGCAGAAAGTCAAACTGTTCTGAACAGTCAAACACGCGACAGTGAGGCTTCGATTGAAATACAGACGCCAGATCAAAAAGACCAGAAAGGATTAAGGATGTTAGGAGAGCCCATTTCATGTGTGTGTACAGCAGCTAGTGAGCAGGAAGGGCTGCTTTTGTGTGACGATTTCCACAAACTCTCCCTCTCGCTCCTGGTGAGACCAGCAGTTTCACACCTGCCAGCAACGATGTGGCCAACAAACAGCACGTTCACAAAGCTGCACTTAATACGAAAACTGTAAAATTCATTTTGTTACCAAGATTTAATACCTGGTCTCAGAAAGGTATGAGTTCAGCACACAGGTCTGAGTATTAGACCATATTACAGGCGAAGTATTAAACAGGCGAGACTTCACCACACTGGTGGGTTATGGAGTACAGTATTACACTAAAGGCAAGGGTTCAGAACACCGTTTGTCATCGAGTATTGAAACAGCACAACACACTGATCACACTGTCATTAATTATTCAAGCACCGTGCAGTTGAGAATCCAGTACACAGATGTGTCTGAGTATTATAGTACAGTGTACAGAGTTCAGTATGACTGTACATACTAGAGTTCTCAAGTGTGTCAGAGTATTCAAGCTCAGTACAACAGAGTTCAGTACAGAGTTTTTACTACTACAACACACTGCAGGCAACAGTTCAGCACTCAGAATCGAATACTTGAACACAATGCAGTCCAGCTCACAGGTGCGTCAAAGAGTATTAAAATTAAGCATTATAGGAGAG